GAATTCACAAATGAAGAGCGAATGTTGAGTTTCAGGAAATCTTTGTAATTTTTTTGAGAAACTGAAACCCGAATAAATAAATCGGTTTTAATAAATAATTTGTCATTCGAAAAAAAATTTTTTTTTATAATATTTCTTATTGGAACGTACCATAAATATTTTTATTCTTCATATTTTTCAGATTCTTTTGGTGTTTTACAATATTTGCTTGCTTATTCTGTGCCATCCGAATCTGTTTTTTTGTTTGGGCAGAATATAAAGAAATTTATACGAAAACAATTTTGGAGAGCCCAATTTATCCAGTTAGTTTAATAGCATTTCCGGCTGTTTCCATTTGTAATTTCAATCGAATAAATTGGATGAAAATGAATGAAACATTGGAAAAATTTTCTCCGAAAAATTCATCTGATTTTCAGACACGTTATCTACTACAGGAATTTCTCACATATTTTGAAGATTTTTCACTAAAATTAATTAATAAATTTGATGATTTTCAATATTCTAACTTAACAGCTATTAACAATGTCAATATAGAAGAAGCTCTGAAAAGTTTATCATTTGATTGTAAAGATTTTTTTGAATCATGTCGTTTGAATCGAAAGAAAGTTAAATGTTGTGATATATTCAAGAAACAGAAAACCAATTTAGGAATGTGTTTCATTTTTAATTCAAATATCAAAGAACTTTCTGAAAGAAATAAAACTGGTGAAATGGTAATTTATTTTAAAAATTGAATTTAGTTTGTTAAAACATTTTTAAATTTGATTTTTTATAGCGAAATTTACATAGAACATATAGCTATAGTTCTGGTTCTGGATTAGTAATTAGAATAAAATTTGATCCAAAAATGAAAAATCCAAGGAATAGAAATCCTGATGGTGTTTCGGTATAATGAAATGAAGTTGAATTTTTATGGAAACAAAATGTTTTATTCAATTTTTTAGATGATTTTATTGACAGATCTTTCTTATCCTAGGAATGAGTTTTTCTTGGAGAAAAACGCCTATCATCATATTATCATAAAACCAGCATTATTTACAATAACACCAGAAACTAAAATTCTGCCAGTAGAAATTAGACATTGTGTTTTCGATGTAAATATTTGTTATTGATTATCCACGGCAATGTTGTGCCGAAAGCTTCACATCTCTAAAATTCAATTAAATGTTTTTTTACAAATTTAAATTTTCTACACTTCCACAATATTTTACGTATTCTTCTATATTTTAATATTAATCATAGTTATTTTATTAAAATTTTGCAGGATGAAGTTAATGAAAATTACTATAATACATTGCCAGGATTCAGATATGATAACAATAATTGTTATGGTGAATGTGACCGTAGATTAATTATAAAAATGTGTAATTGCTCTCCGTCATTTATTTATCCAGATGGTAAACGAAGTTAAAAAAATTTGACAATATTCTTTTTCTCATATTAAACCTATTTTAATGCAATATTCCAGATTATCCAGCAAAATACAAACCTTGTACTGCTCTTGATTTTCTTTGCATTTCAAAACTTAATAGTACGTATAACAACAACAAAAATACGAAATACAAAAATTAACATTAGCGTATACTAAAATTATTTTTTTCCTTTCTTTTGAGGAAAATTTTTACCACAAGTTCATCCAATTGAAAAGAACTATGTCAATAATTTTGGTTATGGAAATGTTTGTGAGTGTTATTTTAGCTGTAATTTCTTAAGAACAGATCATATATCAAGAACAGAAGAATTGTAAGAAATTTTATACTCAAATTATATGTACTTTAAGAAAAGTTAAGAAACAGGAATACTTTCAGGAGCAAAAATAATGGGCTAACAGACAAACATCTAGTACTTGATATTTATTTTCGTCGATTGATTCTTTTCAAATTTAACACATTCTTAACTTATAATTGGGTCGATTTTATAGGTAAAAATTATTATGATTCGAATTAACAACACGAAACAAATTATTAGCAACCTGCTCCCTATTAGTCCTATTGCCAAAATATATGTAAGAAATTCTTGAAGATGGTTTTCTTATACTTTAGTTTTGAAGACGTAGAGATCGTTACAATAATAACAAGTATGAAAACCATTTTAACTTTTACGTAGAATACTATTGTAATAGGAAGAGGTTGTAATAAAAACCATGATAAAGAGATTCTTACAGAAATTACGCACTTTATTAAAGCTGATTTTCTTTTGAGAACCAGTTTTAAATGAAACAAAATTTTTTTCTTCTAATTAAAATGTTTATTTTTTAATAAATTTCAGTTCATCTTGGTGGTGGAATTGCATTTTTTCTTGGCTGTTCAGTTTTAAGTTTAACCGAAATATTATTTTATATTCTGATTTTGTTTTCAAATGAACTGAAAAAGCGTTTCATTACTCCGAAATTCTTTGATCATTTGAGGAAAACGTAATGGGTTTGCTAAGAATGTTTTATTGTATTAAAAATATGTGAATACTAAAGTAAATAAATTTTGCTTGTTACTGAAATTAAAATAAAAATTTGTTCAAATGTATTATAATTTTAAGAGGAAACATGCAAATAAAGCTTATATTTTAAATTTGAAATTTGTAATAAGATTTTAGCGAATTGCAAATAATTAAATTGGTTAAATTATAGTATATAACAGTTACAGAATAATTAAATAGGTATACTATTGAAAATATCTTTTTATAACTTTATAAAATGCTTCTCACCAAATATATGTATGTACTAAAATGTTAATATAAAAAAAACAAGGAAAAATGTTAATGTTATTTCATTGCATTACGAATTTTACATAGGGTTTTGTATATTAAAATTGGTAAGTGATGATAGCTACAACTTGAATTCTACTCTTCAACTTGTCATAATAAATTCAAACCTTTTTTATTTAAACTTCATATTTCAGATAAAAAAAAATGGATACTGACAAGTTTCTCATGATATTGAAACGTAGAATTCAATTTTTTTTCAAAAGATGTATAAACAAATAGACGGCTGGTCCTACATTTATCCAAACATTTTTTAAAAAATTTTTCGAAAATATTTCAATAACAAAATATCTTTCTTTCATAATATTCTCTACGCTAAAGTTTTAAGCGATTATGCAACTTAAATATTATATTTTAATATTAGACAAGCGACATCTTTTTGAAATTATTATTAACAATTGAAAAGTATCCTTTACAGGATAACAATTTTTCAAAAGCATTTTCAAATTAAAATAACTTTTTATTAATAAGCATTTCAAAAGAAATAAAAGTTCAAATTTTAGCGATTTGCTGTACCGAGAAATAAAAGCTTTGAAAATAAAATAGATTCCACATTTCAACGAAAATTCTAAATAAAACGTATGGTTGTGATCCTTGCTATAGAAAATTATTTTAACAAAAATTCCATAAAGTTTTTTATAATTTTATTTATTTTTTTGGAAAAATTTAACAAAAAAAATTGTTCTTGAGCGAATTTTAGTTTTATTAAAGTTTTTCTTTTAAAAGTGAATTTCGTTTTATTAAAAAATAGAATAAAATTTTCAAATTGAGTGCAGAGCTCAATATTTTAACTATTGTTGCTTAACTTGTCCGATAGGGTACTAACAAATTGTTCTCTTTTTAAAACGTGGAAAACACGTTTTTTTGCTGAAATTCAACTAATTCTAAGGTGTGTTTCTATAGTCTAAAGTTTAATCGTATATAATATTTCTTGGTTTGTATTAAAGAATTTTAGAACGTTAGGTCTAGCTTTACTCTTTTTGTTCTCGATCATCTTAGTCACAGACAGAAATCATTTCGAAATCTTATTCTAGATTTACTCTATCTACATAGACTAGTTTAGTTTTTTAGTCTTTCCAAATCACTTCTTCGCGAATTTAAATTTAAACTTAAATAGTGCTAGAACGTGAAATGCTAGAATTAGTTATAAAAGAATTTAGTACTCAGTACTCATAATCAATGGAACAGTCACTATATTATACGTTATTAATTAAAATTCTTACCTTATTTGAAAATATATAGTTATTTATATGGCAATTCTACCTTATTATGTAGATTTTCAAAGAACCAAATCGTTTACACATTATAATTTACTGCTTCCGCAACAGTCCGCAGATAAGTTATGACGCAACAACCAAAATCACTCTTTTTCAAATACATTATTGTACAAATTTACACAAAAATTTTCTCTGCAATTTTTTTATGTAATTTTAAATTTAGTGGTCTTACATTTAATCTTATATAAATAGAGCTTCATTGAATAGAAAATCTCATTTGATTTCTATTATTTTTCTGAAACAAATATACTACAAAAATATTGTTTTTAATAAACAAATACAGAAAGAAAGAAAATAAAAAAAAACATTCCAAAAATATTTCAATAAAAATCTTTAAAAGAGAAATATATCAAGAAAAAACTGAAAAAGAAAGTCACAACTTTTCCTTGTGCAATTATATTTTAAACTTTTATTAAAAATTTCTATAAAGAAGTCCTTTGATAAAATTGTACCACATTTAATTTCCCAAAATTTGAAATCTCTTTCAACAATTTTATAATAGAAATGAGTAGGTAAGTCAATATAAATTTAAAATAAAAAAAAAAACTTTTCAAAATAAAATTATGCAGTTTTCTATTCGTCATAAAAAAATTTTAAAAGGTCTTCAAATTTTCTATTTTGGTTGCACATGCAAAGCAATACACATATTTAATAAAGTTATTCTAAACTTTACAAAAAACAGTCTACTAACTGTTTAAATTAGTTTTATTAAAGTAACGACATATTTCAAACTATTGCATATATTCAGGATGAAAAAAAAATAATTAAGAGAAGAGTTGACGCGAGTTGAGGTAAATAAATGAATTTTTTTATGGCATGGCATTTACATTCAGACTTTTGTCATTTACACAATTTCTTTAAAAGGTTTGAGAAAACATTTAAAATGCTCAGCATTTAAAATATTGCAATTGGTATTTCTGTATACAGATCACACATTATTGCCAGTTTCCTTCAACAAAAACGTGTTCATTTAAAAGAGCAACTTTTCGATAATTTAATTTTTGCGGTGTAACCCAAATCGGCATACTCATTTCGTACAACCAAAAACCATGGATGTTCTTTAAGAAAATATATGGAAGTCAGATTAATATCTATACCAGCATCTGCAATATGCATCTGCAATTTCAAGTAAACGCTATCTACAAAGAGAGTTCTAGCGTTTTCCGAAACTTTTCCTGGTAGAACGACTCTTTTAGCATAAATAGCAATCACATTTGTATCGAATTCTATCAGATCTTGGGTTAAAGTTTTTAATACTTTCACTGTTGGTGTTACGCTACATTTGATTATTTGAGTGAAATCTGAAAATACAACTAAGGTTAAAATTCATTACAGCAGGCTTTGCTTATGCATTTTTTTAATTATAGGCTAATAATACTTCTGTTTATTTAAATTTGGGTTAATTCCAACACTTTCGTAAAAAATTCCAAAAATAATTATAACATATACCTTATAGTAATCGGGAATGTTACAATAATTATGTATATAACAAGGATGTTGAAAATTTAATACCTACACACTAAAAAATCTTAAAGAAAATTTTTACCAAAAAAAAAGATGATAAAAACCAAAATAAATAAATTTTTTTTTATTTCCCCTCCTTTCTTTCCCGCTCCCTCTCTCTCTTTCTTTTTCTCTTTCTCTTTCTATTCTGGAAATAGATTTGTAAATATTTTCTTTGAAATTTAAAATCATTCTGCTTGCACCAACATTTTAAAAATAGTGAAATTTAATACAGTTTTATAATTTATATAACAGTTTATATTTATCTTTTCTTACTGGTAACATCTTGTATGAATCTTGTGTATTAAAGTTTTTTCATTTTTTATAAAAGTAACATTCTTAACCTTTTTAATTCAAAAGTTGTTACCTGTGGCAGCGCATTAAATTATTGCCTATATAAGATGGCTGTTTATATTGCTAATAAATAAACGGCACTTTTATACTAATTAAATCTCTTATCTCAACCTGAGTTGCACTGACTTTGCTTACCTAACAATCGCGATGTTACGATTTTTTGTTTTGTTTAGGCATTAATTCTCTGCATTTATTATGCAAATTAATTTTTATACACTAAATTTTATTCGGTACTGATGTTATTATTTGCCTCAGTAAAAAAGACAATTTTGAAATAAAAATTTGACAACAAGTTCGTTACGAGGACTAGACTTGTCAAATAACATTGAAATAAGTTTTATTTGACATACATTATTTATGTCGATTGTAGTTGCGCAGGAATACGTGACATCATTGAAATCTTGGAGACGACCACTTTTCCACCATATTTCTGAAAAGTATAAATATTTTAAAGTTCATTATATTGTATTTTATAAATTTAAAAACTGGAATTATTGTCGTAGCATATAACACATACATACGCACATGTAGATATCTATCTTCTTCTTCTTCTTCTGCCCCTTCGTTTTCGAATGTTGGCGATCTTTATATCCATATTAGTTGATGTTATTGACAATTTCTTTATATCTCTCTCTGTCTCTAGAAAACTCCATTAAGGCTGACAAGTCCCTCAAACCGGTCCAGTTTCTAATGTTTCTCAACCATGAAATTTGTTTCCTTCCGATGCCTCTTTTTCCTTGTATTTTGCCCTGTATTATGAGTTGTAATAGATGGTATTTTGAGTTTCTCATAACATGTCCGAAGTATGCTGCTTTTCGGCGTTTAATGGTGGTAAGTAACTCACGTTCTTTGTTTATTCTTCTCAGCACTTCGGCATTGGACACCCTGTCTATCCAAGGAATTTTCAAAATTCTCCGGTACAGCCACATTTCAAAAGCTTCGATTTTATTCATTTCTGCTACTTTCAGAGTCCACGTTTCCATTCCATACAACAATACTGACCACACGTAACATTTAACGAATCTGACTTTTAGTGCGATGTTGATACCATGATTGGTAAGAACTTTTTTGTATCTGAAGAACATCGCCCTGGCAACTTCAATTCTACATCTTATCTCATCTGAAGAGTCCCAACTTTCATTAAGCCAGCATCCGAGGTATTTGAACTTAGTTACTCTTTCTACTGTTTTATTATCTGTAAAAAGCCTCGTATTGTTGATGTTGTTTTTCCTGCTTACAACCATATATTTAGTTTTATCGATGTTAATATGAAGACCGAACTGTTTACTATAGTGGTTAACTTTGTTCAATAAAGTTTGTAGATCTTCGATACTACCAGCTATTAAAGTGGTATCATCTGCATATCTGATGTTATTAATGTTGATGCCGTTAACTTTGATACCCTCTTCTACATCACTGGTTGCTTCTTTAAATATGTTCTCTGAGTAGACGTTGAAAAGTAGAGGTGAGAGAATACAACCTTGCCTTACACCTCTAAGAATCTCGATTTCTCTTGTTGTTTCCGCTTCAATTTTGATTTCCGCTGTTTGTTTCCAATATAATCTTTGAATGCAGTTTATTTCTTTCTGGTCGATGTCCATATTTTGCAAAATTTCGATTAGTTTATCGTGTTGGACTCGGTCGAAGGCTTTTTCGTAGTCTATGAAGCAAATAAAAACATCTTTTTGCACATCTTTACAGTTTTCAACCAGAACTTTTGTACAAAATAAAGCTTCTCTTGTACCCATACCTGCTTTGAAACCAAATTGTGACTGCCCCATTGCTGCTTCACATTTTTTATATATCCTGTTTTGGATTATTTTTAGAAATATTTTTAATATGTGACTCATTAAGCTGATTAGCCTGTATTCTTTACACCGTTTTGCATTTATTTTCTTTGGTAAAGTAACAAAAGTCGATTTTAACCAATCCCTAGGGTATTCTCCAGTATCATATATTTGATTAAATAATTTTACAAATATTTGTAAATTGTCTTCGTTTATCAATTTTATTATTTCTGCTGGGATTTCGTCAGGACCTGTTGCCTTGTTTTCTTTGGCTGACTCGATAGCTTGTACAATTTCCCCTTTCGTGATTGGTTGACCAGTTAGATGTGGTGTTGCTGACTCAGTCAAAATCGATCTATTACTATCCGAGAAAAGATCTTTTATGTATTCTTCCCAGACCTGCTTCTTTTCTTCTATATCGAAAACAACTTTGTCTTCTTTATTTACCAAAATGGATGAAGTCTTTTTTCTATAAATACCGGATGCTTCTTTTAATTTCTTATGAAGGTTAAAATCGTCATGGACTTGTTGTAATCTTTCTATTTCCTGACACTGTTGATTAAGCCACTCTGTTTTTGCCCACCTAATTTTTCTTTGGATGGTTCCGTTTAATTGTTTGTACTTTACCGGATTTATATTTCTATATTTGCGCCTTTCGTTCATGAGTTCTATTATTTCTTCAGTCATCCATTTATTATTTGTGATATGTTGTTGGTTACCCAATTTGGCTTTAGCAACTTGATTTAAAACTACTTTCGTTTCTGTCCAGATATCGTTTGTGTTGTTTGTTTCTAAATTGATTTCGCTCAGCTTTTGATTTATTTCTGCAGTAACTATGTTTTTTGTTGAAATATCTTTCAATTTAGCTACATTCAGTTTTGTTCTTTGTGGTGTTCTTTGAATAACTGCAAGCTTGATTTTGATGTTGGCTAGTAAGAGATTATGGTCTGTCCTAACGTCAGCACCTGGATAAGTACTGACCCTCGAAACAAATGAACCGAATCTCCTATTAACTAGTATGAAATCAATTTGATTCCTGACAGTGCGTAGATCGTTATCTTGTGGCGATTTCCACGTATATAACCTTCTTGGCGGTAAACTAAACCATGTGTTGGTAATTTTCATTTTGTTTTCTTGACAAAACTGAATTAATCTGTCACCTCTTTCATTTCTGTCTCCTAAACCAAAATGACCGGTTACTCCTTCCACTTGAGTGGAGCCCACTTTGGCATTGAAGTCACCTAATACGATATTCAATTCTTGTGGTTTAGTGAGCTTCATTAATTCGTCGATGTCATGGTAAAACTCTTCAATAGCTTCATCACTTTTATCTGCTGTTGGTGCGTAAACTTGTATCAAGTTGATGTTAACAGGCTTTGCACTTAGTTTGACCAGCATTGTTCTATCGGAATGCGGAATAAATGTTGAGACACATTTCGCAGCATGGCCCTTGATAATCATGCCCACTCCGTTGCTGTGCTTCCTATTTTGATTACCAGAATAGAAAACCGTAGCGTCATCTTTTTTAAGCTCGCCGGCATCTGGCCACCGCATTTCACTTATACCGAGAATATTGATGTTTAATCTTGTCATTTCTAATATGGTATTATCAAGTTTTCCTGCCTCATATAAACTTTGAACGTTCCATGTACCAATGTTTAATTTGTTTTTCGTTTTACCTCCGGGGATTCTTAGCACCCTCGTTGCGCCGGAGACTGAGGGCCATTGATTCTCTTGATTATTCATAAAGATTTTCTTGGGAATGTTACTTCAGTGGTTTCCCGTTGCCTTCTGAAGCCCATGCCGTTGACAATTCAATTGTTCATCCGCCTTTAGAATTAAAAAATAACTCAGGGACAAGAGGTTGCCCCGCCAGCTAACACATTTATATAGCGAGCCGCTTGCTCCAAGACAGTCACCCGCTTGTAGCCGCCAGTTGCTGGACAGACGCTACTAAATTAAATATCTTCTTTGTTTTCCGATATTTAACCCACCAATCTCGTTTGTTGTCGACCCAAACTACTCCACTTGGATTGGTTACCAAATCTTCCGTAAGGGTTGCTCGACCTAACAGGGTGGACCTCGTGAAGGTGAGATTTGGTGTTGAGTAGTAGAGGCTAGGTTGATGTGACAGCTTCCCATCATCTTTATTCGCATACTACCCCGTTTCCAACCCCGTAGATATCTATATAATATAAAAATAAAATTATATCTTGTATACTGCAATAAAATATAAATTCAATTTTTGCTTATTTCAGTGAAATTAAAATCTTCTAATGTAATTAAGAACAATTTTATATATTCCACAATACTTTACTAAAGTATTGTAGAAAATTGTTCTTATGGTATAGATATTCCTATAGATATTACGAGTATGTATATTAAAATAGTGGTGAATTTTAATGAATGGTGAATGATGGTCATATCTTTGAATTACTTAATTTTTTAAATAACAAATTACATAGATCTATTTATAAATTTACACACATATAACATGTATATAAATATATTTTATATATATAATATTAATGTTATATTATAACACATATAAAGTGTCTGTAACTATTTATAAAATAATTTTCACTCTTGTAAAATTTTTAAAGCTTTTTTTTGTTTTGTTTTTCTTTTTCCTGTATTTTTTTTTTGCAAAAGAAATAATTATAACTTTCAAGGATAATTTTATTTTATGATCATTTATAATTCTATTTTTAGCAAGATAAATTTCTATGAAAGTTTATGTTTCAATATAGCATTATTGCATATGTGTATACAAGGTGATTCAGTATTGAGTATTATATTTTGCAAATTATATATTATAAGCGATAGTTTCCGAGATCCAGTGATTTTAAGCATATTTGACCAAAAATTTTGCTTGACAGAGTTGATCCGTTGTAAAACTGTTATGAGTTTCAAGCGAGAAATTTCTGATAAGACCAAAAAGTTCTTAAAATCAACTCACTACTTTGCTTTCTTATTTGTGTACTTTCGCTATAAAATTAAGAAAAATTCTAATTTTTCTTCAATTTTTCGTGATAGAGAGGCCTAAATAAACTGGTTTTAGCGAAAATATTCATCAAATTAATTCGAAATTCCTTATATGAATTTGTATAACAGTAACTTGTAAAGGTAGTCAGGTGTTAGCAATTGGCAAATTTACATACAAAATCCCTAAATACAACTACGAGCCTACTTGACATTTTTGCGTGTGCACAGATTTCCGGATGTTGAAATTAAATATTTGGATTTAGAGTGTTAAAAGAAATAACATTTTTGGAGAATTTTACGGTTCAGAAACAAAACTGTCACTAATCACTAGTGACTTTACATTTTTTAACATATGTAATGAATTTATTAACGAAATTTCTTGAAATTTACTATTTTGAGTTCTAGTTAATGAAAATGGCGGCAACTTTTGCAGGGAAATACTTTGAAATAACTGTTTAAAAGCCATTTTAAGTAGTTATTGTGCATCATTTTCACTAAACTGAACAATACCATAGAAAAATATGAACAGTGCTGCCATATCAGCCTTTTTTCGAATTGTGATTATATTGAACATTTTTAAGAAATATTTCTTTTTTTAAACTTCTTACTACAAATTAAGCTTCTCAGGATTAATGTAAAAATTCCAGAATAACCCTATAAATATATACATAGGGTAGAATATGTATTTAACTTTATATCGTTATCGTTATAATAAAAGTTTAAAATTATTTAGTTATGTTTTCCCCGGAATAAAAAGTAAATAGAAAACCATTTTACATACATGTGTATTAATTGTTCGTCGTATACAAGTATGTACAGATTTTTATGTGTTGCGGTATAAAAAGTATGGAAAGTAAAAATTTTTTGCTCATACTATAACTGTAATTTAATATAAAAAAAAATTTGGTTTTCATTTACACCTGAATTTCTTTTATTAAATTTGAAATTTTATTCCATGCATTTTAAAGTTAAATTGCATTATAAGGAGTGTTAAAAGTAATGGTAGGAATTTATGGTATCTAAATGAAAGACAAATTTTCTTCTTCATATTCGACACAAATAAAATTAAAAAATTTGGGTGTGTTCCCCCAATCTTTAGCAAAATAGTTCATTTATTTGTTCATTTAAAAAATTTCCAAAAAATTATGTTGAAAATTACAATTTTTGTACTGATAATAGGACTGTTAATTTTTGCGTTAGGCAATAGAACTGTTATTAAAACTTTTGAATATGAACCATAGTAACGCCAACACTGTAAAAGGATTCATATTAAATTTAGAGTTGGTTCAGGGTTTTACCAAAGAAGTAGATAACTGGTTCCACACCGATTTTCTCAGCGATTCGCGACAACGATTAAATTAGATCTACAAAAAAAACTTTATTTGATTTTAATCAATTGAAAATAATAAAATTCTTTTCTTTCTTTATTTGCACGTGTTTATTCAAAGTCAGTTCCAAAATGAATGACAAAATTTAACCACCATTTCAAAAATAAATTGAAATTTTTTCTTTTATTTTTCAAAATTAGAAAGGATAACATCAAATATTTTTTTTCTTCAAAATTTATCCTTTTGAAAAACAAACGCTTCTGTTTAGAAACTCAAGATTTTTTATCACTTTGAAAAATCATAATTGAAAAAAAAATATTAATTTCAATATTTTTTCATTCTATGTTTTAAATTATTGAAGCAGAAAACTATTTTATATTTTTCATTGATTCTATTTTTAGATTTAATTAATTTTATTGTTAACTAAATCGATAAAACCAAAAATATCAACACAATTCAAATTTAATTTAGATTTTCAATTTCAATATTAAAGGTCAAGTTCAAAAATACAATTATTTTGAAAACCAAAAATGTAAACAGACAAACCTTTATTGCAAAAAAAAAAAAAACAAATTCTTAATTGAATAATCAAAATTTAATGCCAAAATTCAAGTTTTCTTTTTTTTGTTTTTTTAAAAGAAATCTTGTTAAGAGACTGCAATGATTAAATGTGGTAATATTTTTCAGTTATATAAGATTGTCAAGATAAAAGATTGTTGAACAAAAGCAATTTCAGTAATGCTAAAGGAATTGAAAAATAATTTTAGTTTGAAGCATTACCAACTATATAAACAATAAGATTTTAATCAAAATAGCTAATTGATAAACACTTCTTTGAAAGAGTCTTATAGGTGTTCCACACGCAACTTTTGGATTTTTCGACTTATGAGTATTTCTATAGTTTTAAGGTGAAAGGGGCTTTCAATATCAATCCGCTTTAGGTTATAGAAAAATTTAATGAAATCTTTTGTGAAGCTACATGGTAGCTACTCAGCTCATTGATCTAATCGTTTTCAAATCATTAAGAGTTATAATATATATTAATATAAGGTCGATTTTATTTTATATTTCATTTCAAAATTTTCACCTATTTTCTACTTGTATTTTTTTTCTAATATTTATTAATAAATTTTCTTGCTATTTTCCATATACGTAGTTTTCAATTTTTTGTTTCATTTCAAATACTACCCATATACTAACTGGGTAAAATATTGTTAAGCTTTTTATTTGCTCCATGATAATGCATTTTTGTTATTGCCAAAGAAATTGGTGAAAATTCCTAATTTATTTGGGACAAAATTAAGAAAAACTTTATACATATTTATATATTCATAAATATAAATACATATAGACAGGTTAAAAAAAAATTTTTATGAGTATTTCAACTGCTACTTTAGCACATTACATAGAAAGTAATTCTATAAATAGAAAAATAAGTAAACGGGGATAGAAGTGTTACCCGAAAACTAGATAATGCAATCAAATTTATTCGCCCTATTAGTATAACAAGAAGAGAAAGTAACAAAAAATAAAAGTCAATCCTCCTTACAAAATCCAAAACAAAAAAAATCGATTGGAAACATATTGATTATGCAATATTTCATTGATTGGCAAGCAATTATATTTTTAATTCCAATTTTTTTTCTATTTTTTTTTTCTTTTTTACATAAATACTTACACGATACATAAATATTGTTTGACTGTACCATGATTTTATGCTTTATTGCTATATATACATAATATGTGTGTATGTATGTAGTTGTAAGTACGAGTATTTATAAAAGATTCTTCTTTTAAACTTTGGTATACGAGAAATCACATACCCAAAACGTATACAAAAAAAAGGAAAATTCAAAAATTTTCTTCTAAAAATAAATTGCAAAAAAAAAACGCTGCCAAATGCCAAAAACTTTCAATTAATAATTGAATTTCCTTTTGAGCTTATCCCAAAAAAAAATTAAAAAAAAAAACGCATTGAAAAAAAGGCATTGGAAAATGAATAAAAAAAAATAGAAATTTTTTTTTAGAACAGGACGACGTCCATTTTTTTTATTTCTTTTTTCTTCTTGTCAGTTTAAATTTTACTGAATGAAACTTTTTTTGTGACACACAAAAATGAGAACAAAAAAAGGGAAGAGAATAATCGGTTATACTTTGCGCAACAAATTTCAACCATTCATAAAATATTTTTCAAATTTTCAATTCAAAATCTATAAAATATGTGGGAAAAATTACAATCTAGCGTGGATTTTTCAATTTCCATGGCAAGGTAATGTAGTATACAAGATATTTTTGGGAGGAGGATTTATAAAATTACCATAAATAAAAATAATTCGTGTAGTGTTTTTATATAATTATGCACCAAGTGTAAAAATCCACTCAATGTTACAGTGGTTATGGAACCGGTCCTTTAACCGTAGTATTTCAGGTTCA